TTTCGCTGGTTAAACTCTAGTAATAGAACCACAACGCACACTTTGAGGTTCCCAAGCCTTGGCACTCGCAAATCTGTGCCTAATTACTTTCCGGAATTGGATAAGCAATTGTTGGTTGTTGGTCGATTGTCGGATTACTTTGTGGGGGTAATATTCCCTCCAAAAAGAAATAATAATTTGGTCACTAAGTTTGTGGGACGCTGCTGTGCACAATCTGCCATAAAATACAGAGTCACTCCACTTTACAATATATTCTGTGAAGCGCTTTGAGATGTCTCAAAGATGTGATAAGGCGCTGTATCAAATGCAAGAATTATATTATTATTATAGGTCACAGTTTAGCTGCTTTGTTCAGTTTCCCTTATGAAGGGGCAACAATATATTATTATTCAATCACCACCTCAGTTTGCAAAGAGAACTGAAAACAGTCTTGGTTTCACAGTGGCAGAGAGGAAATACAGTTGAGGACCAGCTGTAATCACTGCTCTTAACAAAAAAANCTGCTAGTAATGGAAGTTGCGCAAGCCGTGACCTCTTCCTTGGTGGCCTGTGATTGCTCTCTCAGGTTTATTGATTGCTTTATTCGTTGGTAAACAGGGTTTGATGTGAGCACTTGCCCTGATAATACATCATGCTGGAAGCTGTTAAGCTTTTACAGGACAACATTCAGCATTCAGCCATGGTGAATGACCCAACTTTTCCAACACAACACGTCATGGTTGATATAAATAATGGAACGCAAACTTAATAAAAGCAAAAGGTGCTGGAAACGCACAGCATCTGAAAGAGAAACCCATTGATGTCATCTTCACCAGAACGCTTCTGTTTCAGAATTTTAGCGTTCACTTTTGTCTTTTCTTTCCAGCGTTGTCTTCATTAGCGCGGATACTGCCTGATACAACGATAGCTCAGTTTTCATCACTTCGAGCCTGTATTCCAAAAGATATATTTGGGTGAAGCCATTTTGATCTGATTGTAAAAGAATACCTACCCTACCGTCTTCTGTTACAACATCAAGCTGTTTCTTTAACGAATCCAGGGTTCTTGCCTCCTTCAAGGCCCATCTCCACACCCTCTTCTTCGACTGCACCTTCAGTCCACCCTCCTACCCTCACCCACTTTGCCCTCCACCCTTCCTGATCCCTTGCATCAGTTCGGGTGTACATCCTTGACTGTCCAGGGCCTTCGGATGTCCTCCTGATTGAAAGGTGCTTAAACGTGCATTTAAATAAGCGCCTTTCACACAGGATAGCGTCTTGGAGCGCTGTAGGATTTTGAAGTCAAGCAAGGCAGAAGGGGGAGGGGCAGGTGAACCTAGCTGTGATAGAAGAGGTAGGTTTTAAGGTGAGATTTATAGATTGTTGAAGAAGGGCGAGTCAGAGGGATTGAAGCTTGCATGCTGTTGTTAAATAGCAATCTGTGGCATCACATAATGAACACATCCTGGGTGTCCCAATGAGCTGTTTGCGAATCGTAGTTTGCTGACGGTTGTGAAATATAACTTTCTTGCTTGTTGCTGCCAAATACAGCTGATGGAAAATTGAACAGGAAAAGTCTGTTCTTACTGCATGTTGACGACACCTGGGTGCATTGTTATTTTTGACTAAGATGGGTTGAATGGGTAACATGAAAAAGAAGTAAAATGTGTTCACAGGCTGAAATGTCAATATGGTGTAAGATAGGGAAAAGCTCTGTGTGGAAGTTATTATTAATAATAATAATTAACCTTGCCTTTGATATGGAGACGTCTCAAAGCGCTTCACAGGATTTACTGTAAAGTGGATTGACTGTATTTTGTGGGTGAAACGAGGCAGCCAGTTTGCGCACAGCAATGGCCCACAAACAGCCACCCCATCATATCTGTACCAGCTCTTTGAAAGAGCTGTCCAAATTAATCCCATCCCCCGCTCTGTCCACATAGCCCTGCAAACTTGTCATCCCCAAATATCTACGATCTACTTCTCTCTTGAAAGTTGTTATCGAATCGGCTTCCACCATCCTTTCAGGCAATGCATTCCAGATCCCAACAACTCATTATTCATTGAGTGACTAATTTTATTTGGGGGATTTTTGGCCAGGAAACCGGGAGAGAGAAACTCCTTTCTCTTTTCCAGTAGTGCCATGGGGTCTTTAACATCTACCTGAACAGGCAGACTTTGGTTTAACATCTTAAGTGAAGGACGGCCTTCCGACAATGCCACACAACCCCAGCACTACATTGGAGTGTCATCTTAGATTATGTGATTCCAAGTGCTGACGTGGAGCTTGAACCCACAACCTTCTGAATTGGAGGCGAGAGCACTACCTCTGAGCCAGGCTGCAAACTGCACGTTGGCTTTAGGGAGTGGCTGGTTTACTCCTATGGAGTGTCGCCCCGACTTCAGTCAGTCCCTTCAGGAGAGGATAAAAGGAAGCTATTATAGGAGGGTGTGTGCTCTGATGTCCTCTGAGTGTTGAAAGTTCTTTGTGCAGAAGCACTGCCTGGTATGGGAGAGACTGACACAGAACAATAAGACCCCCCCCCCCCCCCCAGGTCTGATGTGTGCACTCGTCTCAGCTGCTGCCAAAACTAGATGTCCTTGTAATCCTGTGTAATGTTATTGTGTATCAAATGGTGTCCACCCATTGAGCAGGAAGGGGGAAGGATCAGGTTTGAGGTTTGATGGAACCATTTTTCAGACATTATAAGGCCTATACTTTAATAATGACCCCACAGGGAGATTTAAATAAAGAATCGGGGAGTAAACCATGCAGACGTTTCCTGATCAAACCCAATTTGGTTTCAATGTTGAAAAACGCTTGGCACAGCCATACAGATAATATTCCAGTGTAGGGAAGGACAGACCAACCTGTGGCCTCGACCCCTTTGTATCTTGAGCATTGAGTACAGTGAGTTTAAACTCGTGCAGCCTTGCATTGTGGAGCGAAGGGAGGGGGCTTTCTGGCCAGGCTGGGGAGCACAAAGCGGACAACTGCCCCTTTTCTAGAGTTTTCAGAAATCTAATTTGGATTTTACGAGTCAATGATATTATAAAAAATAAACCCCAATGATGATCTGCACAGGATGTAATCAGCACGCTTCATAAACATAGTGTTTATTACATGAAACGGGGAAATGTTGTAATAAATTATAATAAATAATAATAATCCTTGCATTTGATATAGGGCTTTTCACGTCTTCTTGACGTCTCAAAGCGCTTCACAGAATATACTGTAAAATGAATTGACTGTATATTTGTGGGCGAACGCGGCAGCCAATTGCGCACAGCAATGTCCCACAAACAGTCACGGATTGAAAATGACCAATTTATTATTGTTTTTGGTTTTGGAGGGATTATTATTAGGCTCTGTGTGGAGTAAGGAAACTTGCCCAAGGTTTCGCGCTGACCTGCCGAGGATTGAACTCAGGTCTCTCGCTTGCAAAGCGAGTGCTCTAACCACTGAGCTAGTGGCAGGATGACAATGTTACACAGCAGGGTACAATCTGTAACAAAAACAGATAGCGCTGGGAAAACTCAGCAGGTCAGGCAGCATCTAAGCAGAAAGGAAAATGAGTCAACGTTTCGGGTCCACAACCCTTCCTCAGAATGGTCCTGAAACATTGACTCACTTTCCTTTCTCTTTTGATGCTGCCTGCCTGACCTGCTGAGTTTTCCCAGCTCTCTGTTTTTGTTTCAGATTTCCAGCATCTGCAGTATTTTGTGTTTTGTAAGGTACACTCTGTATTCTGTTCCATGGTCTTTAATTGGAATGTTAAGCGTTTATGTCTCTTGAGCATATGTTGGAGATGTAACAGGGCTTTCAGCTCCGGGTTTAATCCCCAGGCAAATATGGCTTTTACAAAGTGCTTTCACTATGATTTTTACTATTATTATTGTTATTCACTGACTCTCAATCAAGCAGTCAGATGAGGAGACAATTAGTGGAGGCCTGTGCTCTGTGAACCACGGACAAGATCTCAAAATGGCTCACAACCATTTATAGAAAAGATACAGATCTTAACTGCATTCCAGCACCAAAGCCATGTTGTTGGCCTGTCAGTATATTACTGTAAAGTAATGACGTAAACCAAAGTTGTAGAGAGAGTTTAGAAGTTTAGTTTGACTAACATTCTTTTCAATGTCCCACCATTATTGGTACAACAACAACAAGATTCCATTTATAGAGCGCCTTTCACGTCGGGAGGACGTCCCAAGGCGCTGTACAGTTGGGTCAGGACCCGGGCAGAGGGGAAATGGTCAGGGTGAGGGGAGGGAGGGAGCGAGGAGGGGGGAAATGGTCAGGGTGAGGGGAGGGAGGGAGCGAGGAGGGGGGAAATGGTCAGGGTGAGGGGAGGGAAGGGAGGGAGCGAGGAGGGGGTAGAGGGTCGAGAGGGGAGCTGAAGGTACGGTTGAAGAGAAAGGTCTTGAGACCGGTCTTGAAGGAGGAAAGGGAGGAGGCGGCGAAGGCACTGGGGGATGGAGTTCCAGAGCCTCGGGGCTGAGAGGCTGAAGGCCACCGATGGTAGGGCGGTTGGGGCGGGGGATGTGGAGCAGACCGGAGCCAGAGGAACGGAGGGTACGGGCAGGTAAGTTGGGGGATAGTAGGTCAGAGAGGTAGGAGGGAGCAAGGCCGTGAATGTTGGCTGAATTTCAACAGTAGACCTCAAATTCCACAGATATTGCACTCTCTCTCCCTCCTTTTCTCTTTCTTGCCCCCTCTCCCCCCTTCCCCCAAACCCAAGGACCTCTCCAAGTACTAAGAGTGCATTGTTTCTGCAGTGGGAGCAGCAGATTGTGTTTGTATGTGTGTGTGTGCTTGGATGCTCAATGAAATGTTCTATGTGATTAGGAATATGATTCTGACTGCTGACATTAATTTGTTACAACAGCAATGATTTAGATTTATATAGAGCCTTTCCCATTGGGAGGAAATGGCATCTGATTGTGATCTCACGCTGGGGCAGGGGAAAAGGTGGTCCAATAAATCCTGACTTGATTTTCATCCACTTCCCCTTCCAGAACTCGAAATCCGGCAGCAGAAGGGATTCATCTCTCCTGGTGTGGTCCTGCTTACTGTCGAAGACCCTAAAGCTCAAGTTGGGAGTGGAGGTGCCACACTGAACGCACTGCTGGTTGCAGCGGAACACCTCAGTGCAAGGGCAGGCTACACGGTACTGTCAAACACCTCAATTCTACTCGTTTGAATACTCTCACTTTCTTTATCTTTCACCTCAAACTATTTCTTTCTCTCCATTTCTGTACAACTCTCTATCTTTCTCTCTAACATCTGTGTGTGTATCTCTCTCCCTGAGTCTCTGTAACTTTCTCACTATCTCCTATTGCTATAGTGCAGTACTGTAGTAACAGGATAATTTAGTTAGCACTGTAGCCGTTTGTATCTTGTACTTTCTGAACGAGTCGAAGGTCACATTAGGTCTCCAACTGCTTCAACAGGAAATAGATTTTTTTTCTATTTCCAAGGCATGTCAGTAGCGGGTAGTTAGTTCACCACATTGTTCTGCATCTGTAACTCAATTAATTGGCCCCAGCAAATTCAATTCACTTCAATTCTTGCAGTTCGCTCCCTCACTTCCTCTCCTGAACACATTCATTGCTTTTTACATGGCACCAGGAAAGAAAATGAGTGTGTGTGAAGCTCTGAGCGCTTCCACCAACTTGAATAGCCCTACCACAAGAGGTACAAAAAAACAATAATAAGTTGGTCACTTCAACCTACGACTGTTTGTGGGACTCTTCTGTGCTACTGCATCTCACCCACTTTACCGATGAATGCAAGTCCCTATAACTAGATGTAACTTGACTAATGGTTTCTTCCATGTCAACAGATACTACCAATTGCTATTTAAATTAAAGTGAATTGGGAAGCTTCCGTCCTCAGTCTTTTATTCTAAACAGACCAGGATGTAGGGTCAACCTGTTTATGTATTCTCTCCTCCTTTAATTTATACAGAAAGCTCGAGAAAGCACGGTTAAGTAAACTCAACAGAATTTTACTGTAGTTTCGATGAAATCCACAACACTTGGCATTAAATCTTAAATGATACGATAAATGTCAACAAACACAACTATGAAATAACAAATACTAGTCACACTTAAACTAAACACGCTAGTAGCCACTTGTAATGAAGTTAATGCAAAGAGCATGAAGAACCAATCTCTGACTACTATTCATCAATAGTCAGGGCACGTACATTTTGTTGTCATCAGGTACAAATTGGCGACCCTGAGCACATGGGGCTAGTTCTTTTATGGGCATTGAGCCCCTCCTCGAATTAGGGTACCCAATGGTAATTGTATTGCACCTCTGAGAGCTTTAAGTGCTCTGAGACCTACCTGCATGGAGGGCGCTATGTAAGTGCAAGTTGTTGTTCCACCAATGTAATTGGTGCCTTTTTTATGGTTCAGTCAACATCATATTTTAAGTGACCCAATAGGGAAACAGTGCACCTTCCTATCCACTTATGCAAATTTACCAGTCAGTTACCCCCCAAAAAAAATTATTGCAACCAACACTAGAGTCAGACTTGATGGCACCATAAGTATCACAAACAACTTTAAATACATAAAAAATGTATTTAAAGGGCTTCTCAGACTGACTAATGCTTTTAGCCAACACATAAACTTTACAAAACATACTTTGAACAACAGAAAGGCATAGAAAACAAAGGGGTGGCCGTAACACCTTATTGCAATGTAAATATAAAAAGCAGCTAAGCATTGGTGCTCCAACAGGCAGTTCCTCCCTTCCTCGCCATTCTCACTTTGAAAATCAGATTGTACAATACAGAAAATCACCATAGTGGGGTGTCTGGCCCATTCCAAATGTTAGGAATACCAACAAATGCTTGATTTCTTTAATCGTGCATCTCATTATTTGCCCAAACTGTACCCAACTCTCTTCTTGAATGTACTGATCATCTCTGTATTCATTGTCTCCCTGGGTATTCTGTTCCACATTTGCCCATTGTGCAAAGTAATTAAATATAAATTCTTCACCATCCGGCTTCTCAGCTGCAGCCTTTACCCCATGATGGATCTCTGTTTCTGTAGATATTTCTTTCCTTCTCCAGAAGTGAATGATATACTTTGTGATCGACCTTATTAATATAATATTAATAATCCTTGGAATTGATATAGCACCTTATCACTTCTTCGAGAAATCTCAAAGCGCTTCACAGAATATCCTGTAAAGTAAATTGACTGTATAATTGGTGGGGTGAAATATAGCAACTAGTTAAGGAATAGCATGCCTTTGCGTAAATATGAAGAGTTGGGAGGATACAGGTTATTTTCCGATTGTTTAATTCCTTCACGGCGTTTGCAGTGAAAATCCATTTTCAAATCAATTTGGCTAAAATACTGGTACGAATTATAGCAAAAAACTCACAGGATGATAAAGCCAAAGGGAGGATTTCTGTAACTAATCTGCTTTTGAATATTGCATGCAGCCTGTCGCGGAGCACAGTCGGGTAGAGAGCATCTAATTAATCGCTCACTGGGCATTGAAGGGGAAAGCATGCCAATCTCTCGCTTCTCATTTATATCTTCTCAAAATAGCTCCTCAGTATTTAGGAACTGATTTGTAGGCACATGTTATGTCAAGCTTTACAACAACAACAACAACTTGGATTTACATAGAGTCCTCTACGCCGGATGGCGTCTCAGAGTGCTTAAAGGAACGTGCTTTAGGAACGTGGCATTGCCTTAGGACAGTTAATACCGTCATTATTCATTGTGTGTTTTTTTCAAACTGAATCTGGGAATTGTTACTGACACCACACAATAGACTTCACAGAGTTTTCACAATATAATTACAGTATAACCCATCCCGGAAGGTGATGGATGCTATTACATATACAAGTCCCCAGCAAAAACTGAACACATTGAATGATCACAATCTGCATGCGGTGCATTATGTGTTCCTCCTCTTACTTCTCATCTTCCTGCATCTGCACTGCTTTTGGCTTTCGCCTGAAGTATTGTTCCTTGCGTGCTGGACATCCTCTGGTACCTTGCCCATATATGTAACCTTTAATAGTGAATGTTATTAGGCTATTTTAAGGGAAGCATCAAACTTGAGCAACCACATCTGAACCCAACATCAACAACATGCACCTTATTAGTGAGGTGGTCTTTAGAGAGAAATCTGGAGTAAGAACCTTAACTGATGTCCTCCTCTGTAAACTGGCCCAATTGTAGTCTGAACCGTTGGCCTGGCTGAGGTCAACAAATGCAGCACAGGATGGGATTCGAAGGCGAACTGGATGGACCTTGGTTTTCTTTCGCCAGCAAATTCTTATGTTCTTATTACCACACTGGGCGAGTTTAAATGTAATTTTTAATCTTCCCTCTAAACTCTGAAAATTCCCAGTCCCTCCAGTCAGAGTGCAAAACATGATGGCTTGTTGGAGTGAGCATTCTCTCAATCGGCTTTATCTATTTCTAATCTGATAATGAGCCATCCTCAATTCCCCTGGAGGTATTGATGAAGAGGCCAGGTGAGTAGCCTGGACTGAGTTCTTTATAGTTTTCTTTTATTAAAAAAAAGCTCCTATTTGCTCTGAAAATGCCCCAGTTATGTCTGGAGGGAAAGTCTTTTACATTCCAAATACTCATCTCTGGAGTTATCATTCCTTTATAAAGAGAAAACAATTGATGTTTTTCCACTTAATACCAGTGATTAATGCTGAAGAGCCATAAAATTATCATTTGTTGGCATTGGATGCTAGCCTGGCACTTTAACCTTAACTGTCTAGTTTAGTCGTTAATTTTGCATGAAATTACTGGCCCCAAAATATGAATACATTGTGCTTGAAGTTTTATGATATTTATAGTGCTCAGTGCCAGAAAAATAGTTTCCATATCCTTGCATTTGGGATTCATAAATCCTCACATCAATAATTAAGAGAATTGCGTAAAAAGGGAATAAATTGTAGATTAGAAAAGAGCAATTAAGGTATTCTACGGGGACTGATTTTGTATTAGTTTATTTTAGAATTTATTCAGACTAGTGAATAATCTACCAGTACAGCGTGAGCAAGGGTTTATGGTTTTTGGTGCTAAAGGGGCTGAAAATGTATTATGTCAGGGACAATGGGGGAATGGTGAGTTTACGTAACCTTTTCAAGTGCTACGCCATTAGATTATATATCTCAGTGTGACAATGAAAACATCTAAATATGTCAACCATTAGAATTAACATATCAAAGAATTGTTGAATAAAAGGGGACATCTGATTTTATTTAATGGAGGGATTTAAAATTGAGGGCGAGGATGTTGAACTCAATAATCCAGGAGTGGGCAGCCAATGGAGCCCAGCGTGGATGGGGGTGACAGGGTCGCGGAGCCTAGTATGGGAGAGGACATGGGCTGTAGTTCGAGATGGTCTGTAGCTTGTGGAAGGGAGATTTGGGAAATCCGGTGAATAGAGAGTTTGGGTAGTCTAGCCAGGACATGATGAATGCGTGGATAAAGGTCTCGACGGCCCAAGGGGAGAGGTAGTGGCAGAGGCGGGAAATGTTGCGGAGGTGGGTAAAAGTTGAACAGTCAGAGTGGGCATGTGGGGTTTAAAGGAGAGTTTTGAGTTAACAAGACACAGGTTCTGCACCTGGCTCCGTGACCCCATCACACCCTCCCTCGCCTGTTTGCAATGGCTCCCCATCCCTCAGAGAATGGAATTCAAAATCCTCGTCCTCACCTTCAAGGCCCTCCATGGCCTTGCTCTCTCCAACCTACTAACCCCTTATTGGTAGAAAATAAAATCAGCCAAATCTGTAAGGAAATAACGCTAATTCCTCTAACCAGATATCAGACTGTTTTATTATTATTCGTTCGTTATTCCCCAATATCCCGATGGGTCAGACCAAAGGCCGGTACAATCAACAGATCTTATAACAGAATAACACCAGTATAGATATCTCGAGTTCAAGAGTTCAACACTGTGTCTTTCCAGCACACAAGCTTGATTCTTCATGCTTTCAGTCTTCTTGCTTACAGCTTTCAATCTTCCATCTGATATCCTCAGTCTTAGTGTTTCCAGCTCTCAGTCTTCCATCTCCGTACCCTTGTCTCCGCAGCCCGGGATGGCCCCATCTCCCGTATCCTTGTCTCCGTGAGCCGGGACGGCTCCATCTCTCTTATCCTTGTCTCC